TTCATAAGTGCTGTTGCAAATAGCTCCCGAGATCACCTTAGGACATGAGAAAGCTGTGCCCAGCCCGCACCCCCACCCCCGCTTCTCACAATGTGGGACTGGGGCTAGACCACACGTGGAGGCCCAGGCCCTGGTGCAGCCGCCCCCCTGTCTTGCCTGCACCTCCAAACAGCTGTCCTGGCCACCAGGCCACATACACCTAGAACACTCTCTTGGGAGGGGAAGAGTCTACGTTGACCCTGGAAATGGACTTGGAGCCATTGGGAGAAGATATGCCAGGCTCCTAGATGAGCTTCCAGCAGGAAGTGGGTGGTCAGATGCGAGGTGTGCATGTCCCTTGGCCCTGTGGATGCCTTGCTCTGGGACAGGCACGGCTGCAGGAGGCTGGCCTGGGTGCTTCGTTGCCGGGGCGGTACTCGCCCTGACAGCCCCGCCTCGGGACTTGGCCAACAGTAGGGAAGGTACTGTGAACTGGGGCTTCTCTCTCCTTTACCCCTTTTGGCTCAACATGCCCGGGATCGTCACAGCTCATCACAGAATCATGCAAAACAACATGCGTGTGAACAAAATGATGATGTCGTAGGAGGGGACAGCTGCAGGGGCCCCATGCTGGGAAGCCTGCCTTAGGTGGAGCAATGGCGATTGTTTTCCGAGTCCAAGGACAGAAGTCTCCCACTCTAGGCAAGTGAGCTTCGAGCTGGACCCAGCGCCCGCCCAGCTAAGGGCACAGACAGGCTAGTTCAGGTCTTCGCCGCCCTGGACAGACGGGGCTGAGCGCTGGGCGGGGTTCCCGAGGCTCCTGGTCTCGCTCTGGCCAGCGGTCCTGCCCTGGCCAGCACGCAGAACGCTGTCCTACCTCGTTTCGTCCCTGCAGATAACAACACCATCTCGGAACTCAGCTCCCTGCACGAGGAGGACGGCAATTTCCGCCAGTCTTACCATCAGATGCGGAGCAAGCAGCTCCCTGTGTCCCGGGACTTGGAGAGCAATGCTGACTACTGGTCGGGCATCATGGGAGGCAGCAGTGGGACAAGCCGGGGGCCCTCGGCCGTGGAATACAACAGAGAGGACCGGGACAGCTTCCGGCACAGGTGAGGGGTGGAGGGGCGGCTCGGGCTGGGCGTGAGGCAGGAGCAGAAGGCGGAGGGGATCCCAGGCTGTTCTTACCCAGTCACATCTCTGCCTGCCATTCTAGGTCATCCTGCCGCATCCTCTATGAGAACACCCCCTCCCCACACTTACTAAGCAACGTGTCATGTGAAGTCACCGTTCCAGGCTCTTAACCCTGTTCGCCTTTCCCTGCTTTCTCATATGTTTTATCCTGTGGCCTCTACAGTACCCCACCCATCAGCTCCACCCTTTCTGCTCATTTGTTACGTGAAAGGTAAAATGCCAAACACATTACACTGTTGCGTCAGATTGTCATAACTCTACAGGCAGGTACCGTTCATGTCCGAATTTTAACTCGCAGACCCTGGACCTCACAGGGAGGCCAGGGACTCTCCCCGGGACACACAGCCAGTGACTGCAGGAGGCCCAGGTGTGGGGCCTTCCCACTGGGACGCCTTCCTCACTCACCTGCCCTCTCCCTTGAAGGGCAGCACCTTCCCCCCCCTCATTAGTGTGGGCCCCTCCGGCCTGCGCCCAAGAGGAACCTGTCAGTCAGGTGGAGGGAGGACAAGGCCTGTTCATCACCAAGTATCACAGGGCTCCTTGGGCCGCAGCCGTGTGAACTGCCAGCCACCCCTGTACCCAGGGAGCTGAGGTGTAGCAGTGGCTCCAGCTGCCAGCCAGAGGTCAGTAATAACACTAGGAGGCCCTGCCCTGTGGCTCACAAAGCTCCACCCACTGAGCCCACTGTGATGCTCCGCACCGACCCCCGAGCCCCACTGTCGTGATCCGCACTGAGCCCCACTGTCGTGCTCCGCACTGAGCCCCACTGTGACGCTCCGCACCGACCCCTGAGCCCCACTGTCATGCTCCGCACTGACCCCTGAGCCCCACTGTCGTGATCCGCACTGAGCCCCATTGTGACGCTCCGCACCGACCCGAGGAGGACACGCCGCCCCTCACTGGAGAACCTGCCCGGAGAGGTGGCCGGGCTCCCAGCAGGTCCCCAGGCGCAGGCAGACCGTGTCCCTGGCCTTCTGGGTGCCTGACCCTGTCCCCTCTCCCGCAGCCAGCAGCGCTCCAAGTCCGAGATGCTGTCGCGCAAGAGCTTCG